GCCAGCGCTGGACTCGCTCTCGACAACGCAGCCATAAAATTTGATCATTTGAAGACCAAAGCGCTCAAGTGTTCTCAATTGTCCTCTTGCTACCCACTCAAATAGATTAAGGGAGGGCAGGGGGCTCTCTATTCAATAACCAGCCATAAAACTCTGGCTAGATTGSAGAAATATTGGCAAATGTGATAAACGCAAACATATTAACTCTAAGTACACAAGGCCYTTGGCTATATTAATATCTTTAATGTAATCACCTATAAATAAGTGATGATCCCATGATTTAATATGACATCTGTCATCCCCATTTCCATACAAGACACAAAGCAATCATCTCTCCCGCGTGCGATAAAGTCACAGGCCTCGTCACTCCCCGCGACCACCCAGCGCTATCCCAACATGCTGCCTTGCCTCTCCACAGCCCGCACGCGCCGGCCCAGCGGGTTCGGATCCAGCTACCCRTTCCCAGAGGAACAGGAGGAAGCTTGGAGCGAGCGCGGGGTGCCCCTGTCCCCAGCCCATCCACACTTACCCKCAGGGTGGGCGCTGTGGAGAGGCTGTCCGGGACCAGGCTCGGGCTCCACCRGGACACCCGTGGGCTCTGGTGGACACGGCGGGCACTGGCGCAGGGTGGGAGGCACCATCGAGCCGGGCTGCACCAGGGAGCAGAGGCGTCTGCAGGGAGATCCCTGTAGGAAGAGGCAGTGCCGCAGAGCGGAATGGGATCCGCACCCAGCACCCTGCCRGGCCACGCGGCTCTGGAGGGGATGGGAACAGGAACTCAGTGCCCTGCCTGCTGCACGGTTCCATATGGGATGGGAACAGGAGCCCAGCACCCTCCCCGTCTGCACAGTTCCATACAGGACAGGACCGGCACCCAGCACCCTGCCCGGCCACACGGATCCGGAGGGGATGGGAACACGAGCTCAGTGCCCTGCCCATCTGCACAGCTCTGGGCTCGAGCATGGCGCAGACTCGTGATCTGCTCTCRGAGCCTTCGCAGAGGGTTGTAGACCCGGCGCTCCCTTCCCTCTCCCACAGTATCCAGAAAGGAGAATCTGTTCCCTGTGCAGAAGCCAGGCCCTGCACGCAGGACCTGCAGCCTTCCCTTGCCCAGCCCATGGAGTGGTCAGGAGAGCGCAGGGCTCACCATGAGCATACCGTGAGGACGCGAGGGGCACAAGGACAACATGAGTGCACCGTGAGGACATGAGGGGCACAAAGACAACACGGTGCACCGTGAGGACATGAGGGGCACAAGGACAACACGGTGCACCGTGAGGACATGAGGGGCACAAGGACAACACGGTGCACCGTGAGGACACCACAAGCGCACTGTGAGGCACCGTGAGGTCTCCCCACCGGCCACACTGTCCTGAGCGCCAAGCAGGGACATGGTGACACGTCAGCTCGGAGTGGGTAGGGCACTGCAGACAACTGGAGAGCGGGAGAGGCAGAGAAGCCCTGAGGACTTTTCTCGCCCTGAGGGCCCATCCACAGAAGATGGGGGGCCGCTTCCCAGCCCGACCCACCTGCGGCGGCTTCGCGACGCCCCCAGCCTGCAGACGCTCCGGCTGCCGCCCCGGTCCCACCGCGGGGCGAGGGCCAGGCCTGCAGGACGCAGCTCATYTACATTCCCGCAGAGCGGCCCATGTCCTCCAAGACAGGAAGAGCATCACTGCGTATCGCGCTAAATGAAAAACAATATTTAATTAGGACACAGAGTACAAGCACACAATTAAATGTTCTATTACTATCAGTCTTACACAGTTTAAGCCTCAGTTCAATAAAGAACCATTAAAAGAAGCTAATAGAATATCAAAAGATAAATAGGGAGCTGCACGTGGCATCTCAGCACAGCCTGGGAACGGAGCAGGTGGCAGTGCCGATGACCCTGGCACCAAGCAGRTGCCCAGACCTGCTGGGAGGGCAGGACGCTGTGGGTCACCCCCCAGGGGACACGGGGGCCTTGTGGCAGAGCCGCAGGTGTCTGCGGCAGGAGTAGAGCCCCAAGAGAAACGGAGAGCCTCGCTCCGAGGGAGGAGGGGACACTGATCCCACCAAGGGATCCCACGGTGCAAGCACTGGATCCCTTCTCCTGATGTGCCACAKGGAAAGCTTCCCCACCGTACAGCGACAGGACACCAGGGTTTGTACAGGGACAAGTCGGGAAGAGGTGAAAGGATGGTAGGAGACCTCCCCCTCCTCCTCCCCACACTAGGAACCAGCCCAGTCCTCCAGGCTGTCCCTCCTTCCCTAGGGAAGGACAGAGGGACACAGTTACACACAGGGAAGGTTGCTAACACGTTTAACCCCCTACTGCACCTGGGTTCTGTAGAGCCTGGGCTACTATGGCCAAAAAGAGCCACGRGCATCACCCCGTGCACCACCCTGGCCACCACCAACCAGGACCCCAYGGGGCTGCCACGCAGGTGACCAGGGGGCACAGGACAGCAGCGGGCGCTGGAATGGGCAGAGACAGAGCGCTGCGGAGCCCGGTGAGGCCGGGGCCCTGGGCACGGGGCAGAGCGGGCCCCCCCCCGGGGCACCCCGGAGAGCAGGGACACCCCCGAGCACCCCGGAGAGCAGGGACCCCCCGGCACGGGGCGGCACGGGGCAGAGCCCAGGAAGGGCAGCCCGGGCACAGCGCCCGCGCAAGGCCCCGCAGCGCCGGCAGCAGCAGAGCTGCTCGCTGCACAACTGCGACCTGCTCGTGCCACGCTGTGGCTGCAGCCGGGATAGCCCCTGTGCAGCGGCGGGAATCGGCACCAGCCGCAGCCGGAGCGACGGGAGAGACCRGAGAGGAGCAGCCGGAGGACGGAGCGGCACTGCGGAAATACTGCTCAGAGAGGCTGGTGCAAAGCAGGAAAACACACGGGAAGAACAAGCTCGAGGGATCCCAGGCACGGGGACAACAGGATCCACCTGCAACGAGCAGCAAGGGACCCTGCAGGAAGCGCGAGCCAGGGCTGCGGGAGGGAACGGAACATGGAGCAGCCGCCACCGGCCCTGGGAAGGGCCGCACTGCACAGCAAAAACAGAGCACGCAGCCAGGGCTCCTAGGAATAAATTTATTATATTTTATTACATATTCCCCCTTTTCCACTTAATCCCAATTCCTCATATTCAAACTCTTCTTTCTGAAAGAAAATGATTTTTAACATAAAAATATAAATTCTGCATATTAAAAGTGCATACACCTTGAATAATAAAACATACAAATAAATAATAAAGGCATTGACACAGTCTCATGCACTTGTCCTCAAATAATTTAAAATTTATGGTACAATGTTCAATCCCAAGTAAGACAGCCTGCTTTCCAGATTACTGTACAGTTCAAAAACATTAAAATACAGAAGAGAATATCAAAGGTGTGGGCAAGCCCCACGTCCCAGGATCGGTGTACAGTGATGTGACATGCAGTTTTTAGAACTGTAGATATTCCAGTGTAAAATCTGACATTGTGTCCAGAAGAGAAACTGCATTCGTAATAGGACTTAAAATTCAATTTTAACCAATGGTGAGGCACAGTTGGTGAGCAAATCTGTACAAATTAATTCTTGGAAGGCCACAAGAAAATATTCTAGCCGCTTGTAGCCTGTATTTCCTTGTGTYACCCTACCCAAGGCAATGTAGCACCTAAGAATGTTCTTATTGCACTGCACAAATGCCATTCAACCCTAACTAACACTAACTTTCTCACAACACGTTCGTGCTGCAGGGCCTAGAGTAAAACAATTCATGTTCACACTTAGTTCTGTGTCTTTTAAAAAACACTATTTGCAGATAAATTGAGTGCTATCGCCTTTAAAAAAAAATAGAAGGCTTCCTAAACCTTTAGACCTAATATGGATATTCTACAAGCCTTCATGTACCTTTATTTTACAAAGGAAAGCTCCTAATAGTAAATGCTTTATGGTGCTTTTATTAAGAAAACCATGTCAGACTTTCATCTCACCACAGATTAAAACTAAATTTCAGTTGCCTCCACAGATAACATTAGATACTGCCAAATTATTTTGGATTAGTAGGAAAACGACAAAGACGCAAAAAGAATTACAGTAAAATTACTTGGAATGTAATTCCCAACTGCCTGGGGTGACTGCAGCTGCCGGGGGGGGGACGGGGCCCCAGGCATGAGTGACAGGGCTCCATCCACCCACTCCAAGCGCTGCGACGCTCCATCCACTCACTCCAAGCACCATAAAGCTCCATCCACCCGCTCCGAGCGCCGCGCCGTCCCAGCCACGGCTCATGCCGAGCGCGAAGCTCTGCACCGTCCCCGGCACGTCCCCGGCTGCGCCTGGAGCTCGGGGAGCCCCATCCTGCGCAGGGCTGCAGACGGGACACGGCCCCGGCAGCAGCCAGGGAGCCCAGGCGCGGAGCCGGCGCGCTGCTCACGCGGCCGCTGCTCCAACAAGTGTCACAGAGGTGCACGGCAAAGGGCAGGCTGCAAACACACCAACCGGGCACCCCGCCTCACTCCCTCCCAAAAAAAAAGAAAAAAGAAAAGAAAAGGAAAAAAAGACAATACAGAAAACCAGTTTGTTCTCGCTCCAACACCTCAAACCCCTTTGACATTATGCTACACTCCAGTCTTGTCAGTAATCCAGAACTCCGCAAAGGAAAGAATCAGAGATGTGCAAAGAAAGCAGGGAACCAGGTACATGCTCCTACGTGCTGGCACGMGGCTGCACCGAGGAGCAGAGCCGGAGGCGACGCGGCGCCCCGCAGCCGCCCGGCAGCCTTGGACACGAAAGCGCAGGCCGTGGTTTTAGTAGGCGCTCGCACAGTTCCTACGGGCATGCATCGGGGACACAGCAAGAGAGCCGCCATGCAGGGCTGCCTTAGAGAAATGGTTGATCATGCTCCAGCTCTGGAAAGCAAACAGCTCCGCATCTAGAGACGACGAGGGCACACGCAGCGGGGTAAGAGTACTGTAATTAAGCTGCTCTCTGTCTAAAGCATCTGTTTTATTTAGCCATAGTTAGTAAGTCTGAAAGGGTTAACAGTTTGTACATCTGAAGTGAGACACGAGTTACCCATGACTGTAGGCACCAATTTGTCTACCAAACGTGATTAATACAAATAGAAGGTGCCTCATTAGTATATGCCATCGAAAATGTGCTTATAATTTGTATACTACAAACACTATTCAAAAAACACAGCCCAAAAAGGGTAAAAATAAATTGTTTTCGGTGACTCCAGTAGTAATCTAGCTCTGGAATGAAGGTGCTGCTTTCCTGCACCAAAAGGCTTATTCCAGGAAGAGGAACAAGTGCCAGACTAGAGATGTGGTTGTCTATGAGTCAAGAGTGGCCTGATGCACATGAATTTGAGCAAAGTCTATTAGAAATACATCATAAAAACTTTCCAAAGACCTGAAACAGCTCGCTCTGCACCTCCGTGCCCAGGACCGCTGCGGGCGCAGGGCTGCAATGCTGCCCAAGCCAAACCCCAGCTTCCAGCAAACACGGGCCCATCTCCCTCGCTAAACGGGCTTTGTGGCTGCTTCAGAAGAGCCGCAGGCTTCGCTGCCTCAACACTGACACCAGAGAGGTGCTGGTGTCCAGGACGTGCAGGATCTGGCACGAGGAAGGACCCCCAGAGCTCCCGCTCCATCACGTCACCTCCCTACAGCCAGGCCATGTAACAGACAGGAGCTCCTGCACAGCACAGGGCTAAGAAATAAGACCGCTGTAAAGRAAAGGAAAGACTGATGCTCCCCTTTCCCAAAGGGCTTTGCCGAGGGCCTGCGGGAAACCACGTTCGTTTACAGGGACATTTATCCTTCGCCACTGATGCGCCCAAGGCATTACAAGCATAGAGCCAAGCACAGCTGCTGGACCCACATCATTCAGCCCTCTCCTTTGCARGGAAATTCACAGACCACTGGAAACCTGAGATACGGGAAAGCGGAGGGCACAGAGGGGCAGCAATGACCTCCCACAATGGAACAGGCACAGACACGAGAACAGGGAGCATGCTTCCCAAGCACCAGGCAGTCGGGCTGTGCCCATCTCGCCTGGGATGTAGCTTGCATTCAGAAGGAGCTCCATGAGATGACAGACCACAGGAATGCAGAGGTCAGACCCGCTCCAACACCGGCACTGGCACCAGGAGTCCCGTCTTGTCTCGACATCAGCTCTATGGCCACTCACATCCCAACACAGACGGGACTGGCATTCGGCTCAAGTGTAAACTTGGACATGGCTTCAGATTTCCTTCAGCAAAAGCATGCAATACAGGGACAAAAACCACCTCAAAAACCATAAACCGCCTTCCAGTTTATACTATGTAAGACTTTTTCGGTGAATGAGATGAGAGGGAAATGTTATTTCATCAAAGTAACCTTTTGCAAACATCCCATGGTAAAAAGCATAGAAAACTACATTCTGTCTATTAAAAGATACCAACCAAGTCAGCAGTGGCTACCAGGATTACATTCTTTCTAGAAGAGTTGTTACAAGGGAAGAGTCAACACAGTGCAAGATCTTAATATAAATAAAGCATTAAACAAATATTTCAATATCAACATTTCAGGGAGTAATTTTAGTACAATGTGAAATAAATCCTATCTGCTCAATATAACAAAAATAATCCAAGAATATCCAAGTTATACTTTTAAGAAGTCAGTTACATAACCTTTGCTTTTTGTTGTTGCAGTAGATGAGAAGGAAACAATACATGGGGGAAGAAACACACTGAGGAGATGATCACATTTGGGTTTTGAAATACAGTCCAGGGCACATAGTCCAGCATATTGTAACAACATGCAAGCTACTGGCATTGCTTCTGGGTTGCATGAGAGCACTGAAAACACATACCCAGGCCAGAAGGGGGTTATTCTACACAGGGGCCYGCAGCTGCACATTGAACAGAGCCGTGGCACCCCAGTCCAGCTCAGCAGAGCCACGTGCCTCTCCTCCAAGGGGACGGCTGCACCCACAACACCCTCCTCCCAAACCTGCTGCAGATGCCAGGCGAGCTGGGGATGACGTGATCAAGGAGCAGCAGCGCACCCCAAAACCGAGCAATGCTTCCTGCAGGGTCCTCGACGTGCCATCGAGAGGAGATGGAAGAGACTAGCTGATAACCGCTTGTTTGGGAGCCATTTGTTACCGTGACAGAAAGGATTAAGAAATAAGGCTGTCCACGGGCTATGCCTTAAGAAGCTTAGCCAAATGAGGCTGTACGACAGGCAAGGATCTCATTCAGAAGAGAAGTGAGCACAGAGCACTGCCCAGCTGCTCTATGTTGGAAGCTACAAGACAGGTTGGTGATATTCATAACACACATGGTTATTAATAATGTAGTGCATTAATAAGAAAAGATTACACCTTTTAATCTACCTTTTAAAAGGACTATGTAAACAAAGATGGAACCAGATGTAGTGTTTGAACCCTGATACTGTCATCCAAACAGCAACCGAGATCAGTTTTGGTGAAGCACTGTGGTAGCTAGACCTCCCAGAACATGGGAAATACACATCAAGCAAAAGGCTGTGGCACTGCACTAGGGAATCGGAAAAACTGCTCCGCAGCATTTTGGTACAGCCCCTGCAACCTGCACGAAGAGGCTTGTTCAAAGCATGCTCAGAGAAGGCAGAGAAGACAAGACAACACTTGACTTATCTAAGCATTACTCCTATAGATAATAGATGCTATATTCACAGCTCTACAAATCTGAGCACATTAGAAAATGCTTCTTCTCAGGAGTTTAATGACAGAGGTCCTATCACCACCATTCTGGTGTGTGAGACAGCTGTCTCCTATGGTACTGTAACAATCTTCCACCTTGCACTTTCACAGATACTAGCAGGCAACCAGCTGGTACTTAGTGTAATACTTCAAAACGGGAGAAAGCAACCAGAGAGAGACAGGGTAGAGGTCATCTTAGGTATGGATAGAGTAAAACTCTTCACAGATACAGCAACAAAAAAATGCTACTCACTTTATAAACAAACTTTCCTCTGTTGGAATAAAAAAAAAGAAAAACACATAGAACAAACTTACAAACACATACGCGCATGGACACACAGGTACCTTTCTGGATCTGTCCATCCACTAATGCTAGTCCCTCCTATACTGGCTGAGTATATACCTGAGAAACAACATTAGTGTTGAGATATTGCCCTTTAAAAAGCTTGAAAAAAAATGGAGGGGAGCAGGGAAAGAGGGTTGAGAGAAAGCATAAAGAAGCAGCAGTCTCTCCTTTTCAGTTTCCTCAGCATCCTTCACAGCTCAGAACGAGGTCTTACACGAGTGTGGACACAGCCTGCTCAGAACAAGACCACAGGAACATCAGTTCACAGCTCTACAAAGCACACTAGTGCCAGTGTAACAGCGTTTCAAGATTTCAGACCTTGAATCTGAAGAAAGTTGTTGCATTTTCTATAAAGAGACTTCTGTACAAGTGCTATGGGACAGCTGCGTTCACGTTCAACGACTTCAGCTAGACTACTTGCATCAGTGCTAGCTGCCTGTGGCTATTTGGTTTGATGGCAGAATCAAAAGGCGCTTTAACAACTTGCAGTTAACTTCTCCTCAAAACATACATTAGGCACATGAACAAAAAACAAGAGCTCAGAATAAATTAGCTTCTCTGCAGAAGAAAAGACACCTGGATTGCAGCATCTCACTGAGGTTCCAGAGAAGGCCGTACAGACACCTGCATGCTGGAAGGTAATTTTTTCAGCGACTTCTCAGACTGCTTGCCACTGGAAGGAGACTGGACTGCAGGATCTAGCTGGGAAGACTTGGACTTGCGACTAGACAGCAGAGAATGTTTAGTGGATGTGGCATCTTTTGAGGCCAGCTTTTCTTTCGCAGTAACATTGGCATTGGTTTGAGAGGCTGGTGGGTTGACACCTTTCTCCGATTTGTCCTCCAGCACATTTTTGCTGGCTGGCTTGGAAGAGCTACCCGCTGTCTTTTTCGAGAGCATTGTCGTCTTCCCCAAGTCTGCTGACCTCCGCGTCTCCTTCTGCCTTAAGGCAGACTTAAAGAAAGACAGTCCTTTCTCTTCTGACTTGCTGTCTCTCTTCAAACCAGAACGCATACCAACATTAGGAGACCGCAGGTTGGCCATCGAGGAGCTCCGCACATGCTTGCTCTCTGCCGTCCTACTGTCACTCCTCGAGTGGCTGATTCGGGGGGAACTTGTTCTTGAACTGCTGGTAACACTCGTTTTATCTGACCCCAGGCTTATCTTGGAGCCCTCCCTGCTGAGGCTTCGGTCTGAAGTCCGACTCTTTGCAGTAGAAGAGCCCTTAGTCACTGACCCTGATGGGGTTTTCTTGGCAGCTATGGAGGATGCAGAACCTGACTTTTGTTTTTGTTGAGCAGATGGGACAGCCACCTCCTGGGCCCTGGTGCTGTGCTCCTTCTTAGCCTGACCTGGGGCAGGAGATCCATGTCGCCCACTGGCCCTAGAAGAGTCYGCCTTGCTCCTGGAACGGGAAGCCTTCTGGGAGCTCTTTAATGGAGGAGAGGAACGAGAGACTTTGGGCTCTTGAGTGGATAAGATCGTCCTTCCTTTCCTCAAATTCCTGTCCGGCTCAGAGGCTCCCTTGGAGCTGTGAGCCTTCTTGGGGGTGCCCTCTGCCTTTTCCAGAGCCAGCCCGGTGCTGCTGGGGGCTTTCACCTCTTTGACTGGAGAGCTGTCCACAGAATCACTCTGATCAACAAAGGCAATTTGATTGTTATTATCAAAGGGGTCCAAAGCAGGGTGATTCCTGTCCCCTTGCATGGAGCTTTTACCAAACCTGTCTAAAAGATCYGAGCTGGATGTCCTTGCTATGGGCTCTTCCCTGAAGGCTCCTTCCATGACAGCCAAGGGAGCTCTGCGAGCCGCCCTGTGCTCTCGCCGGCTGCCATCGCATGGTTCCAAGTAGCTGCTAGACAGATTCCTCAAGCTGCCAAAGCAAGAGGTGGAGACCTTGTCATCYGCAGCCTCCCCAATCTTCTCCAGGGTGGAGGCAGAGGAATGCACGGGGGAGTCTCCGGAGAAGCGCGACGGGGAGCTGGAGCGCAGCTGCAGCTTGGCCGACAGCGACCACGAGGGCCGGACACCGTTCTCACTCGCGGCCAGCGGGCTGGTGACGGACGATCTAGAGGACAAGCTCTGACGCTGGACGCTTCTTACAAACGGTCGAGTTGAAAATCCACCTGCGTGACAGGAAACTATTCTTAATGAAAGATATAAGATATAAGCCTGCAGTCTATTTGTCCTACCCGTCCCCAAATCCTGCTTCCCTGAAAAGGGCAGATGCGGTTCACCCATACCAGACTGTAGGTCTCATTTCTTCTTGCCTGCTGCACATTTCTGACATAAGAATTGCATAAGGAACTTCCACAAATTGTTCCTTGCACTGTGGTCACCCAAAAATCACTGTCTGAAAGCTATAACTGCAAATCCAGCTTATCTTTTCCTCCCTGAGGAGCAGGACACCAAACATGCTTTGGCACTGCACATATCCTTAAAAGTAGCAATGTGTTTATCAAATTCCTTGCCAGAAACATGATCATATTTATCTACATGAAAAACTATTTATCTGTCTGTTAAAGGCAAACTAGAGTTTTTACTTCTTGAAACAAAGTAATATATTTGTATGTAAAAGAAAGCACAACCGCAATATTTTAGAAAGCTGACTACAATGGTTGGATTTGACRTAATTGCAAGCACTAGTACAGGGCCAACTCCAAATTCAATTCAAGAAGCCCAGATTGTCCCTTTGAAGCTCAACATTTTCAAGAATTAAAGCACTGCATTAAAACCAGAAACCGAGTAGTTATTTTCACATACGAGCATATCAGCATATGGTCTCTGCTCCTCTCTTCCTGACAGCGACTGTCTACAGCGTGACAGCTCTCTACACCAGACAGCAGCAACGCGTCAGCCTCCCTGCAAAGGAGCTGCAGGGAAGTCAAAAATGGACCACTAAGAAAACAAGCTCTTGATGAYAGGTTTAGCTGATGGTATTTTCTTCCTCTGTAAAGCTCCTTAACATTTCTGCCCTGCTTTTCCTCACTCTTTGAAAACGGGAAAAAAAGGGACTGCCAGTGCCATAACCCATCTGCTCCTGGCGACAGAGCCTGCTGGCCCCATTTGCTACAACTGTCCCCTCTGAGCACCATGCAGCTATCCCAGCTATCCTTTTATCTTGTAAATGGAAGAGATCAGCGGCGTGGGAAGTGAGTTTTGCCCCGCCACGCACACCGCGTTGATACAGACCGTCGTCCTCGCTCCGTTCGCCGGTGAGCTCCACGGACTCGGAGAGCGAGGCCAGGGAGGTGCGGCGCGAGGAGGCCGCCGAGGCCACACTGGGCTGCTTGCTGCCGGGGAGGCGGCTCACCCAGTGCTCGCACAGCGACGAGCTCGTGGAGCCTGCAAGGAGCCACGCACACGCGTCAGGCCAGGAGCGCGAAGCTGAGGGACATCAACACCTGTGAGGCTGCACGGATAAAGGGGGCATCACACCGCACAGACCCCTGGCCTCTACAGCCACGGCATCCAGCTACTAACAAGAACAGATCTGTACTCTTTCAACAGTAACGATCAAAACCACAAGCAGTATTCATTCCAAAACGCTCCGCATCAAAAGGATCAGTGCAACACCACAGGCAGAGGATGGTATTTGAGCTGCCAAAAAAATGCAGTGCATGCTCTTCCCAATCACAAGTCACCAAGTCTGAGTCCGCCTCCCAGCGTATCCCATTGTCACAGTCAGCACATCCAGCTGCTGGTCGTTTTGCAGAGAACAACAGCAAAGCCAGTGGGAACACACTAGTCATTTTTATGCCAGTGGATTGAGGGAGGGAGCTCTGAGCAGAATTACATGTGGGAGCTTCTCACCTCTCCACAGCCTCTTTACCACAAACAGTCCCGAGCAGGAAAGCGTGGACAAGAGCTGCGGGAAGTTCCCTGCAGCCTCCAGTGCAGAGCAGAAAACTCAGACAAGCTCCACTGACTTCTGGGAGCAGGAGAGCAGGGGTCTAAGCAGAGCTGGGCAGAAACTCTGCAGATCTATGAAGCAGAGGCTATAACATGTTCTTTGACAAAGGCAACAGGGCTTTACCTGCCACAGAGCTGTTAGCAGACCATGATGGGATTGCTGTGCGTCTCTGGTAGAAAAGAATATATGCTGTCTGCTTGCAGACTTCATTTTCAGAAAGTTGCTGAACATCACTGTCATCAAAGCAGTACCACTGGCCATCAACTGAGTTTTTGCAATATGCTGAGAGAAAACACATTACTATTAGATTTCCTTCATTCTCGATCACCCCTAGTTTTGGTGTGCGGTAACTTAAATATAACCTTACCTGTTGTGATGGACTGGAAGTAGAGGAAAAAAAGGACTAGACTTAATTACGGCACATATCCTTCTCTAGTCTGACCAGCAGGAAGGAAGCTCGAGACTGCTAGACTACAATGAAGAGCTCACACTTCAGGATTTACTCTGCCTAGTTGAGCATTTTTGCTTAGAATATGCTCAAGATCACTGCTTTGAGTGGCCACTCAACAGATTCTCCATGCAATCACATAAGGCCAAGACTGTCACCGCAGCACTYGTGCTGAATGAGAAACAGGTCATATCAACATCCCTGGAATTCACATCTTTTTAGCGGTGAAAAGTGTCTGGTAGCACATTTGGGGTCAATTGTCCTTGTTCCATTTCTCAGTGAGCAGAGTGAACAAAATCACCCCTCCAGATTACATGAACTGACTCCTGTTAGTCAGGTAGGGTCCTTTTGTCAAAGAGAAGGAGCTATAAACACCCAGCAGCAAATAGCACTGCACCCTTTCTGAAAAAATCTACCACRCACAAATCTGCAGAATACTTGCCTGTATAGTGTCCCCCTTGCATGGTGCCATGGTGATTGCAAACAGCATACAGATCATAAATATAGTCCTCAGGATCCCTTCCGAGCCCATACGGCCGCCTCCATGGGGACCAGTGAGATGGCAAGCTCCAGCTGCTCTGGCTGCGTTTAACAACATGAGGAGTCATGTCCAGGCCACTCAGCGGGAATTTAACCATGTTTTGAAGTTTCATCCTTCGGTCTCCTTCCTGTATAAACAGAACTGCATGAGCAGCTATGGCAGATAAGGCACCATGCCTGAAAAGCAGGAAAGCACAGGGCAGAAGAGCTGCTTCTGAAGGAACGCTATAGTCAGGTCACTGACAAGTGGTTCTCCATCATCACACATAGGAAAGAGCAAAACTCCTAGGAAAAAGCTCCTACAACAGACACGAAAAGAACACACAAGAGCAGCTATCTAAACCAACTCCTGCAGGCAGCAGAAGCAGCTTATGGGCTGGGAGCAGCACAAGGCTGCCCACAGGTGTGGCAGAGCCCTGTCAGGGTCCAGCTTCAGGCTTAAGGAACAGCACTGGCTTCCACAGCTGCCCATGTCTCCAGTGATGGAGAGGGAGGCAAAGGCAAGTAAGCACACAGCACAGGTGATGCAGTTAAAGCACTTGGGTTGTGCAGCTTGAGTCTAGGCAACAGCAAACTCATCAAGGATGTCTGGTTATGAGCCACAAACAGGCAACAGCTGGAAGCTTATTTGGGAAAACTGTCACACCTGCTTGGCCTGCTTTCATATTCTTCCTTAGGCACMTGCTTTTGAGCRGGAGACACAATACAGGTCATATACAGATGCACCTGACCCAGGGCAGTCATTAAGACTCGAACCTGACTGTCCCTCTAGGCACCCTTCCAGCACCACATACTTTGAATTAAAGTAAAACTGCAACTCCTATTCAAAAGGCTTGTTTGAAGAGCAATTTTCAGAGTTCCTTAACCTCTCCCACCTTTCTTTCTTACCTGTCTAAACCTTTTGAGATGTACGATGAGAACATCGGGCAAGGTCCAGAGGCTCAGCGTGATGCTGCCCTGCTGCAGCTGCTTGCAGTGTGGGCAGCGCCAGGCATCATCCGGGGCAAGCTGCAAGGAAGAGGTGTTAGTGGGCATCAGTTTCCAAAGCACAACACTGCCGATGACTCAGTGCTGCTCTGCCACCGGGCTCCCTGCAGACACCACACGGACTCACACGCTCCATCTACCTCCAGCACTCAGTAAGCTCACTGGAAACTGGGTTACCAGTGACGCTTTTCAAATAGCTATAAGCCAGATGCCATAGGCCTTGTACAGGAGATACTTCCCACCGCATAACAGAACATAGTCAGTGCTGCTCTAGAGAAAAGCTATTTCCACCCTAAAAAAAATTCAATTCCTTAGAAAAAGGGGAGAAAGTAAACCATAGGCAATAAGCAGACAGTCTTATGAGCCCAAGAAATACACTCACAAGAAAACTTTCAGCAGCAAAAAAGAATCGCAAAAAAAACCCACATAAGTCGACTTGGAATTTGATGTTAGACACCTTGCTACCCTCTGCAAATTGTTTCTTTTAATCCCTATACCCCACTGTCCCAGAGAATGTCTGAAAAAAGACATTGCTGTTTCACAGAGGACACCGAAACAGAAGYATACTTATATTTATATATATAYACACATACACATGTGTACACTRTATATACATTATATATTTTGCTTTTATTTGTGTGTATGCCCGCACATGTGTACATACATGCATTTATATAAAAAAGTAGAGTCCACAGCTTTCTGCTCACTGCAGCAAGACTGTAAACAGGACTGACAAMCAGCTGCTAACTGTCAGGTTACACATTCAGTCCYTCATCCCAATGAATCGGTGTTTGCAGGACAGAGAGGCTACTCTGCTGAGGACACGATTTTGGGCAGCACAGGGACTAACTGAGCCTTCAGCCTCTTGGCTGCTCTGCATTCTTCCTACCTGTTCCTCTTTGGTGTAAAGTTGGAAACACTGAGATAAAGTGCAGGTCTGAGGTTGATGATGAAGCTCTCTCTGCTGGCGGACGCTTTCAGAGTCTGGAATATACTCATCTTCTGTATTCACAAACAAACTGTACCAGAGAGACAACACATTTACCAGCACAGCCACCCGCTCCACGTGTTGCTGGTTAGCAACACAGTAAAAGCAACACAGTAAAAACAATATTAGAAGTAAAAAAAAAACCAATATTAGCAGTTAAATCTTCAATTGGTCCCATCAGATGGGAGCCAGAGTTGACAGGCAATAGATTGCACTTGAGCAGCATAACTAAACACAAGCGGAAAAATAGTCAGAGTGAATTCCCACTGAACTACCGATCTGGATCGGGCAGAAAAAGTCCACTGCCTCCTACTTATTTCATATGAATATGACWTGCAGGGGAAGAGACCAAGAGGAAGGTGGGAAACCACAGCTGAAGCTCCTGCTCCATAATACAAAACCCAGAACAGGGAGAACAGGAGTCCAATTCAAAGGCAGCTTAGTTCACACAAGCCCAATCTGTCTTTAGAGGCAGTGGAACAGCCAAAACTGGAGATCTTCAAGGGTCTTTCGTTTGCTGCCCAGATCAACAACACACATTGTGCCAAGCTATTCACAAGCATTGCTCCCTTGCACTGAGCACAGGATAGGGCTTTCTACTCCATACTTACTAATCTTTAGTTTCTTTGTCCCATTCCACCACCAACTTCACATGAGCAGTTCCCCCCTGTCCACATGACTTCAATGCCCTGGAGAGAGGAGCAGATAGGAAGCTTGAAYATCTTTGAATCTGAAGTTTTTGTTACCTACATAGCTTTTTAGCACTTCACTCCTCCACTGCCACCCAGATCCAGTTTGATAAGGAATAAAGGAGCTCACAGAGCCAAAAACTGTGGCAAAGCCAGAGAAAAGTGCATTTGCTCATTGTTTTGCTCCTGGGAATGAAGGCCAGACTTACCTTTCCACTGTTGGGTGGCAGAGGGGGCGCTCCTCCTGAGGTAGCAAGTACGTTATGCCCACAACACTGACCACTCGCAAGCTGAATGGGCAAACCTGCAATGAAGACAAGTCAGATGAGTAACTCACACCCAGATCACATATATGCGTAAATTTGTTCTCTGCAGGGGCTAAAAAGGAGATTATCCTGGAGTTTGTGTTTGACAAAAAACTGCAAGAAGTTCTCACTATACTTGGTAACAATATACAKGAACCAAGCAGATCAAACAGATGTAGACAGCACTGAGGTTCTGTGTCCCAAAACCTCTCCACAGCGAGTGGACAAGACACTCACATCTTCACTCCTCCACTCCCTGCTGGGGCTCTCATCAGAAACGTGAAAATACCACTGAACAAACATGTCAACTTTCACTGCGGCAAGAAGCACTTGCTGGATTATTTCAGGCACACAGAAGATCACTATTTCTCAAATAATTCCTTGGGGGGAGAAAGGAAAAGAAGCCTGTAGTTTCTTCACCCGATCWGTGTGAAGAAACCTGCACCATTCTTCAAAGAGCAAGCAAAAGCATCGAAGAGGCTGATTTGGGCAGCATTGCTCAAAGAAATACTGGGAGGGAAGCAGTGCAGTATGTGAAACTTTTTAACCAATCCCAGTAACTTCTGAATTGCATCATTTGAAGCCTCAAAGCAGACAAATCATTTGCCTCACCTGCATACAGGCTGTAGGCCGCAGGAAATACTGCATCTTCTCCAAAATTTCCTTCTGCAGAATATCCCAAGCAATTGTTTTTTCCAAATGCAGTACAAAGGGCAAACCAAACCTGCAAAAAGAAGTGGTATTTGAGGAAGGAATGTAAGAGTTATTTGCTTCAGTAATCAGACCTTCAAAACACACTGAGGGTATGCAAGCTGGGAAGGGATTCTGTGGTCTCTTTGTATCCTCTTTTCACTAGGTGACGAATAAATCCAGGTCAWTTAATGAAGCAGCCAGAACAACAAATGTAACCGTGAAGCTGCCAGTCACCTTCTGCTCTGCTGTCCAGTGCATGCTCTGTTACACACCAGCAACACAATCTTATCATTTGCTGCTTGTCTAGCAGAGGACTGTTCCAGTTTTCCAGAGTTTGCTGTTCCTTGTGAGTAAGATATTGTTCGAGATTGCTCAGTGCCATATTTCAAGTTATTCAGGTTATTGTTTAAATGTATTCCTGAAAAATAAGGAGAAAGGAAATATTTTATGCTTTATTATTTGCCACTAGYGTCCTGTTGCCTCCAGGAACATCGTCACTCCCTCACTACCCCAAGAAACATTCCTTTAACCTCACAGCAGGTTAGCATCAAATCAAGGCTGACTGAATAATATATATCTTTTTAAAGACCCAGACTTCAAAAAGCAGTTACTTCTCACAGTGATTTTTTTTGTATAGAAAAAAATTAAAAACGCTCATCTCGTATTTCACAGCAATTTGTAGAGGTACTCATGGCTTGTCTGGATACAGGAAAAGCTACTAGGTAGGTAGAAGCTAGGTAGAAACAAGCCTAAACCTACCTAAGCCTACCTAAACAAGCTAGGTAGAAGCTTGTTTGTACCTTTAATAATAAAAATCAGTCTTGGTTTATCTTCCCTCTACCCCGCTCCAAACACCTCTGGGCACCGTGAGCCTCTGCCACAYGGTGCTTCCATCAGAGCCGGCAAGGCCGGCAGCCTCTTCCAAAGGAGGACCCCCTCATTCAGCCACCTCGTGTGGGCACTAAGTGGAATTATCCACTCACCTCTCTGACTAAGGATCCCTTCAGGCCTGAATATCTCTGGGGTCTCGAAGGCAAAGATGCAGTCGCTTTCATGGATGGTGTCCAGGTCATCAGTGTCACAGAAGGAACGATGGAAGCCATCGTAGTACATCTCGGTCAGCACGATCTGGAGTTCAAGGGGGAAAAGAACAGCCTGAATCCCTAACACCCCACTTCCTCCTCTCCACTGTGGAGGCACTTGCATTTTCCGCACATCAGCTGAAGGCTTCGAGCTCCTCCTAAGGAAGGGCCCTGGGGCGAGAGGTGCCCATTACCTGCTCCGTGGGTATCTTGGTCTCGGCGGAGACGGCCTCGCGCAGCCTGTGCACGGTTCCCACGATGGGCACGGCCACGCCGATGCGCATGCAGTGCGAGCACTTGCCCTGGTAGACCACAGTGACGTAGAGAGGCCTGCGGGGAGCACGGGGAGGCGCTGGGCTCAGCCTCTCTGCGAGCCCCACGGAGCCTGCCTGGCCTAAAGCAGCGGGCAGGCCCATTCCAGTGTGATTGCCCCTTCCAAACTATTTTAATCTGGTTATTAATTCACTTCAGGCCACGGTAACTTCCTGGCTGGATCTGCCTGGTTCATGACTKAAGGGCCCTAATGAGCAATCTAGAATCAACATGGAATTACTTCAGCCTCAGACAACTACATCTGATTTTGAAAGATTTTTTTTCCTACATGGACTGGTGAAATTGTCCCTTGTTCCTGCAGACAGCCTTCTCAAACCCCTGAGATTAAAAATAAAGCTCTGTTACAAGGCAATCAATTTTCCAACATGGATCACACAGTGCAGCTTAGGACACTGTGGGCAGCCCAGGCTCAGCTGCTCCAGGCTGCGGCTCCAAACTCAGCTCTGGCTCCAACAGCACTGAACTGCACAAYGCCATCCATGTGGGAAAGGGCCTACACGGTCACGTCAGACACGGAGCTACGTACCGCGTATGAGGCAACGGGATCGGCAGAGAGATGCAGAGGAAAGGGTCGAAGGTGTTGCTCTGCTTCTGGCAATGAGGGCACGTCAGAGACGATCTAGTACAGATATTGAGAGCAGAAGTTAACCATTCCAGCCAAAATGATGGGTAAGTGAGCAAAACAGACAGAAAAAAAACACGTTTGCTTCCCAACTCAGCTGCTTCTTCCTGCCTGCGCTCTCAACACCAAGCAGCTCTGCACGAAGGGCTCCTCATTTCTAGACCCCTTTTCAGCTAAGCAGTCCCAGGGTTCATTACAGGGCATGCCGGAAAAGGCTGTGCTTCAGACACTGCATTTGGCTTCCAATAAGAGTCTCTGCAAAATTAATAATTTGCCAGTATCAGTTCCAGCATGAAAGACCTGCAGGGCTGGTCTCCGTCTCAGGGGAGGCGAAGGGCGAGGTGGCAGCCACAACCACAGGTCTATAGCTCTCCCTTGGAGAGGGAGGAACGGAAACACACACAACCTGCATCCAGAATCAGCTGGCACCTTGCACTGGCTTGATGGTTTATGCCAGACTTAAGGTTTCTCCTTTGGCAAAGGAAACCTTGGCAAACACTGGGGAGACTGCCTAGTAATTGAGCTTCCTATAGCAGGGCAGACAATCCATCAAGGAATACTGAAATTAGGTGTTTTCTTCCTAGTAGGTCTGAAATCAGAAAAGCCACTTCCCATAAACAGTAGGAACACTTGGGAAGCAGTGAAGGACTCAAGTCAATTTTCAATGTGCCAAATAACAAGAACTTGCAATTCCCAAGGCCACAGCAGCCATCAGGCAAGGCCAGCCCTGGTGGAGTCCAAGTCCTGCCCCTGAAGAGCCCTGCTGAGCACTGAGCAGTCCTCAACCTTTCTTCCATTAAACACAGACTTGCCCCAGGGGCTTTCAGGATGTGCCAGGGCAGATAAATGGCACATGCTTTGGATTTTTCTTGAATATATCAATCTGAAACAGCAAAACTCACTCCCTTCTGGCCCAACATTTTAGTCCAGACTTCTTTCTGCAGAAATTTAGAAAGAGGTGATAAGACAACGACACCAGCCTTACCTCTACTGGTAACTGCTGGGGTATTAGAAGATGCAGCCACTGCACTGGTGACACTCACCAGCCCCGCGAGGCAGCACCACACTGKGGCCACCAGGACATACCTGTACTGGGCTTGGAAGAGCTCCTGCACAAAGGTGCTACTGATAGGAAAGGCTGGTCCCTCAAGCAGCACATCATCCTCCAGCGGTGGCTAAAATAAAAGAATAAAGCCCAAATATTTAGATGCACCCAAATGTATAGATGTAAAACAGCAGATGGCTGCGCTACTGTCAGTCAAATTTGCATCCTCTTTGACCAAAACCACCAGAAAACATCCCMAGATGTATAACTAACAGGTGCCCTCTGCTCTTGTAGGAGGTTCTGCAGGAACGTGATGCAGCCAGGGCAACCCAGGGCAAACCTCTCATAGGAGTTGACAGGTCTGGCCACCCCGCCACGGCTCCCAGCTCACGGAGCTGTGCAGGACCGTTCCCGAGCCGCCACCGCGGGAATCGCCTGCTGGGCGCTGCTTCACCCAGCTACATTCACAGGGCTAGAAAGGCTTCCAGCCCCGGGTGTCCCACCCAAACTGCCACGGCTGAGACGCCAAYGCGGAGATGTAACTTGCCCGGCAGCCGTGTGCAGGAACATTGCTAGCCTCCGCCGGCGCAGGGCTGAACCGCCTACCTTCAGAGGCGGCGTGCCGCTGTTCTTCACCACGTTGTTCAGATCCTCGTGAACTCTGTCCAGCAGCCAAAGCAGGAACTCCTGCGCGTCGTGCTGGGCATTCCCCCGGTACTGCATGGCATTCTTTGACACGATATTCTGCAGAGCAACAACGGAGGGCATCAGCAGAAGCACAAGACTGGAGCTCGGCCCAAGCTTTTAGCCAGATCCGCACAACTAACAGGCGCCCAGACACGAGSTTTCAGCAGCGCCCAGATCAGGTGCCACACTGACCCAGTGCGCGCGGCGAGRACGGGGACAGCAGCGCAGGCCGGGCCCCTGCACAGCTCAAAGCCGCCTGTTCCCAGGCGGAACCCAGCTCCCAGAGGAGCTGCCGCCTGTTCCCAACCCCTGCTCCAGGTGCTGCCCCAGGCCCAGCTGCCACCAGGGGCCCGGCCTGGCAGGGACGACCTGCAAGCACCAGCCTGAGCCCCAGCTTAAGCCACACGTGCCAGGGCCAAGCTCCAAGGCACCCAGATTTCCACACGCTCAAAGCGAGTCCTCCCAGTGCCACCTTTTGTCTCGAGCACCACCCCGTGCAAGGCGGTTCCRAGCGCTCCGGGCTCCCGTTCCTGGCTCCGGTGCTGGGGGGGAGCTCCCTGAAGCCAGGGAGGAAAGGACAGGGTACAGGCCCAGCAAGGAGCAGCAGCCGCCCCGGCCGCAGCAGGGAGGGCTGGCGGTCATGGGTGCAATGCACATGACTTTGGCAGGGCCCTGGACTAGTTTGCACCTGGACTTCCAGAGGGGCATCCTTGGATGCAGCAGCAGGCCCAGGGCCGCGCTGGCCCTTGTCCTTCCCCTGCACATGGATGGGGTGCTCTGGAAGCCCACGGGCTGGTGGGGGGCACTGCCTCCGTGCGGACCCTGTGCAGCCCCAGCACCCTCTGCTAGTGCCCAGCCCCAGCAGGAGCCTCCTCCGTTCCGGCGCTGATCCCACGCGGGGCGGCCGCGGTGCCGGCCCCAGCGGCAGAGCCCTGGGCACAACACGTCCATCTGCGCCATGAGCTCCCGCACAGAACCCGGGACGAGGAGCCGGGAGGAGCGGGCRCAAAGTGCCCGGCCGGCAGCAGGGCGGCGTGCGGGGCCGGCGCCTCGCTGCTCTAATCASATGTGCAACGGATTTGAGACGAGGCCGCGCTGCTCGCTTTATCCCTGCAGGAAACGGGGTCACCCGAGGGGGGAAGACACACAGGGACTGATAAACATCTACTCTCTATCCTCCGCAATCTGCCCACCTGCCTCGAGGCAGAGAAAACAGAAATAATCGGCTCTTGTTACAGCTTTGCAAGCCCCACTGACAAGAGCTTTATGGCCTCGCCTGCACAAGGGCCAGCACGTGCTGGTGGCCAAAACGCAGAGGRGCACCAGATCCCTGAAAAGCCACCCAAACCCCTCCCTCGTTGTGAGGGCACACGAGGAATCGAGGCTTCTGTTGCTGAAATCTCGAGGAACGTGCAGGGCRGTTTAGCCTCCTGCTTGCACGGCTCACGGCTGTGTCCCCTCGCGGGGGCTGCTGCCCCGCGCGTAGCGGGGCCAAACGCGCTCGGGCCCAGCAGAGCGCCCTGTCCCATGCAGCGGCCCCCGAAGCTCCTTCCTCAAGTGCATCCACAGCTGCAGTGAGCGGCGCTTCCAGCCCCTTCCTCAGCACAGCCTCCTGCGAGGGTAGGGAGACGGAGCAGGACGTGCCCTTGGCTGCGTGAGGACACGTAGACAGGCCACCAAGAGCCTCGCCAACGAGCGATGTCCCTGCAAGGAGGCGCAGGATCCCAGCTTTGCATCCATCCGCACACAGATCCAGCCCTAATGCAAACCCTCCACAAACGAGACCCCTTTACCCACGAGGCACAGCTGGACAAGGCTGCACCATCGCACCCACCAGCCCCGAAAGTTCACTAACCACACAGGCACGGCGCTAAGCACCAGCCAGGACCCAAAGTRAAATCAGCGGCCTCTCCTTCACCGCTGTTATTCTCTAGACCACAAAGACAACCAAGCAGCAACGGCAGCCTGCTCTTTTCCAGCCTGTCTCTGTCAGGAAACAGCTGTGGGAAGGGTTCGTGCAGGAGCGGATGGAGGCAGTGCACRTGCGGGGGGGAAAGGAGGGCTGCTCTGCACCTTCATTGAGCACCGGGACGCTAGCACAAGGCTGTTGTTGTTTTAATGTCACAGACATAACCCTGCGTTTGGCAGGCATCTCTAAGGGCACTTATCTAGAGGAGTCCTTCCGCTTGCACACCAAAGCGCAGCATCCTTCTTCCGCGAAGGAGGAATCTCCTCTGGGTAAGGAGCTGCCTGGGGAACAGCGCAGTCCAGACCTTCCCCAAGCTGGGGACAAGGACCCGGCACTCGGCAGCCCCGCTCYGGCAACGGGAACCCCAACAGCACCAACCAGGGGCCCCTTACGGGCTGGGACAGGCTGCCAGCCACTCCATGCAGCCTCCAGCGACCGCGACCCTCGGTGCCTCTGCCGCAGGACACCGGGGACGGAGCGGGGGGCTCCGCGCCAGGGCCCTCTGCGAGGCAGGAAGCAGGGAGGAAGGCAGCAGGACAGGAGCGGGTGCTGGACAGGGCTTGGGAAGCCTGCAAACAGGAAGGAATAAAATTAAAGCAGAAAAGGGCAAGAACACCAGAGCGTGGACGGCCTAACAGTCTCCTAATCAATACAACACCAGRCTCTGTTACCTTTTCTCCCCTCAGCAGAAGTCTAACTGAGAAGTCACAGAGAAAGGGCAAGTAAAATAACTGGAAATAGTGGAATTCGTGTAAAGGGGCTCAACGCTCACAAACAGCCRCCAGCGGAGCAGCCTCCTGCTGAGCCTGGGTGGGAAGGACCCACCTTGAAGCAGCTTCCAGCTGCCGGGAAGCAGGAGACAAACACTGCCCCTTCGGAGGCAGGAGCAGGAGAGCAGCCCTCAGCGCCGCGAGCAGCTCGCACACATCAGCCCGCGGCAGCCCCTCGCAGAGCGCCGGTCCTGCGCTTCGGAAGGAGCAAGCAACACAGGSTATTTCTGACAGCCCCACGTCTCCTGCTGCAAGGCTTTCCAAGCCAACACTGCCAGACTGTTTTTTCCGAAGGAAATCAAAGACCATATTTATTTCACTAAGTTCCGAGCTCTCCCTGAATGAGAGCAGGAGCACATATCCTTATCAAAGGAAGCTTGCTTTTCTTTAAAGAAATCCCACAGCAGCCCTCACATTCTCAGAGCTATCTGCCTGTTGCAGGCAGGGAGGGTGGTGCAGCGCCCGGACTCTGCAATGCAACACGTTTCTGCCCCCAGCGTTGTGCAGGGCTGCATCCCTGGGCCAAAAATCAGCAACGTTGAGTCTCTGCCTCACACCAGCGCCATGCAAGGATTCAACAACCGCCTCGCACCAGCGCCAACACCACGCACGGTCACAACAACCGCCTCGCACCAGCACCACGCACAGTGCAAGGGCCCAATAACCACCTCACACCAGCACCACGTGTCCCCAAATGGCCGCACTGGAGCATCCAGGCGAGCAGCCACCCCAGCGCTGGCGCACAGCCGGTCCAGCACAGCGGGTSCAGCAGCAGCGCTGGGCACCTGCCCCCTTTTACATCACGTCCTACAGCGACACAAAAGCATGGGATGTAACGGGCGGATGCTCCCGCTCTCTGCAGAAACAACCAAGGAACGAGCAGCTGGCACCGGACAGAGCCAAAGCCGGTGGCTGCTGGACTCGGAGAGCCCCTAACTAAAGGGCAGCCACTCGAGCCCAACCACGTCCACCAGCCGGGCCGGGAGCTCCAGTGAGCGAAAGGCTCCCGGCCGAGATGAGAACAAGAGACTGAGACACTGCCATTTAATCTGCAATAAGGTAGAGGATAAATAATGACCAAGTCAATAAATAATGATCAAGTCAATACTTTGCAGGAATCGCTTTTAATTCAAAAGTTATTTATTAATTCAGGAAAAAATGACCACCGCAGCTTGCAAACTGCTTGCCCCAACAGCAGTATTTACACTAGAAGTGTTTACAAAACATGCATACCTTGAAATCTTAAATTTTAGGCATAAGCGGGAGTAAATATTACTCATAACAAGCAGAAAAACCAGAAGCAGCAGAGTTACCCAGCGGAGTTACCCTGCGCTGCTGACAGGGATGCACTGACTGGGATTATCAGAATCAGCTGTGACCCCAATCAAGTTCACGTGGTTTCGCTGTTTGCTGCACACACTCCAGCTCACAGAAACGCTGTTGTCTTCACCCCACAGCCATGAGCGCAGCAGCTGCAGCACATAAACAGTCCTGACAAACACCACCACGCTGGGCGTTCAACTGGCTTTAGCTCTAAAGAAAGTCTCAGAATAGAAGGAAGCCTCATCACTCGGAAGATCAAAACTTGGGGAAAGACAGGGGTTGGGATAAGGTTGTACACATGAGTTTTTCAAACTTGGTTTAAATGAAATCCCTCTCACTTAAGACTCTTTCAGCAGCTTTAAATATCTAAAACTGATTGCCCATTGCAGAGAACATCCTCTGATATCTGCGTTATCTGACACTCGGCATCTCCACAGGGAAAGAGGGACGGTGCCCCRGCAAAGAGGCGGCTCCCGGCTGCACAATGGGGGTTTGTGCTGCTGTCACAAGGGGCCGGGGAAGCAGAGCGGCGGCATCGCGCTCGCTGCGAAAGCCGCTCTGTTCCTGCAGCCAAACGGGGCCCTGGGCGAGCACGAGAAGCCAGGAGCCCCAGAAGCCGCCCGGAGCGGGGGACATGGGGACAGCGCTGCCGCTGCCTCCCCAGAGGCAACCCAGGGCTTCCCCAGAGCGATCCGCACAGCCTCAACCAGGCCCCTTCCCGATCCCCCATCTCCTCCTCCCAGCACACAGCCCTGCAAGCCCCTTCCCACCCTGGGATGCTGGTGATGGCCACGCTCCTTCCTCCCGCCACACGACACACGTGTGCGGCAAACACCTGGGCTACAGGGAGAAACCGAAGGGTACGGGGAGCTGACAGGGCACCGACCRCGGGCAGGGAGCAAACGCGTCCCCAGGGGCCCTGCCTGGCGGCAGGGAGGAATCTCCCTGGGGACCTGAGGCCTCTGCACCCACAGCACGTGCCCGCGGGAACAGGGACGGCCACGCTCACACCCCAGACACAGGAGCAGGGTGAGAAAAAGGGACTTCAAGGGGACGCCAAGACACGTGGCGCTCACACGCAGAGCTGGGATCTGCAAAGCAGGAGCTACAGACCCCGGGACACACCAGACCTTGTGTTTGGGGCACATCCCACCCAAGGCCATGACCCTCTTTCCAGCCGGGAGAACGTTTCGCTGCTCCCCACTACAAGCCAGCTCTTGCAAGGCTGCTTCGCAGCCCTCYGACTGCAGGACAAACCGTTTCACACAAGCCACTTGCTTTAATTGGACTTCTCTCATTCATAGCAGCAGGACTACGTGACTCATGAACCGTGGGCTGGATCATTTCTTGAAGACCAGCCTGAAAGAGGAGAAACACTCAAACACTACCCAGACTAAAACAACTCAGGGCAAAGAGCCTCTAGGAACTTGCCCAGTCCAAGGTCCCCGMGTCCGCAAGGACTTGGATGGGCCACCTCTCATAAGGGACTTCCTCTGCCCCAGAAAAGCCTTCAGGAACTGGATCAGCAAGAGGACGGGGGGCATCTTTTACCTTCAAATATATCCAGCACCTGTACAGAAGCCTCTTCCTTCAAAGGGAGGATCAGGAACTGTCTTTACCCAACTATATYTAGTGCCAAAAAAATAAAACCAGCCAACCCATGGACTTCCCAGCATGGTGGCCAAGAAGATTGTCAAGTATCAAACATAACTGGCAAGTTGGACGGAAAGCACAAAACCGCTTTCCTCAAAACACTTTTCACTGCTGGTAAAACTAAAGCAGAGCAGCAGTACGGCTGCATGTTCCCTGGCTCCTGGAAGGAGCTAGCAGGACTTTCCTTGCTTTGCGGGGAACAGGGAGCTTCCAGGCGGGAAATGCCAATCCTCGCCTTTCTCAAATACAACCTTAGTGCTTATACCTTTAAGTTAACTGTGCAAATTTACCGGTGAAGATTATTTTAATTAAGAACCGTGGGTTTAATAGCAGGTTCATGCTACCTAACTGCCTTCAAAGCCATTCATTTGCCATTAAAAGTAATTGAGCCTTGTAAGCAAACAGCTGAGTACTTGACATAATGATAAAGTCATTCAGAATGAGATATGGGCCCGTTAATACCAGGCAGCTATGAACAGGACCTACTTGGACAGGATCCCCCCCAGTAAGATGCCTTCTAAAAAGTACCTCCAGGACTTGACAGGTAGCAGATTGATGAGCTCCAGAGCCATCAACAAGGCGCAGGAAAACACTTGCTCCCGGCCAGCGGGGCTGGGAACAAGCTCAGGAAGCTCTGCTACCAAAACGGCCTGGAACACGGCCCTAATCGTCACAAATCCCTTCTCTTCCTGCCGCTCTTACCTGAGCACCTTGACTTCTGCCTTCGGAAACAGTATTTCTTGGCTGGTTCTGCTTTCCCTTTATCAGGTGCAGCTGTAGAAGATAATCCCACTCTCAACCTTTCATTTCTTTTTTCCCCAAATAAACCATCATAACTGTAACACTTACTACAAGTTCAGGACATAACTACAGATTCAGGACATAAATAACCAGCAAAAGTTGCATTTGGAAATCTACCGAAATCCAGCARCCAAAAAGCTGGGACCAGCTCGCACGGATGCCGTGGAAGAGGCTCCGAAGGGCTGGTGTGGCCGGAGAGGCTCTGTCCTCAACAAGGGCGGGAGACGCGAGCCGACCGTAACGCGGCGCCAACACAGCCCCTCGCAGGGCCTTCCAGAGAGCACAGCAGCCGCGGACAGCCCTCTGCCATGSGCTGCACAACGTCCCCGCCGTGCGGAGCGCAGCACACGGGACCCGCGGCCTTCACCTCGCAGCCAGGAGCAGCAGGAACTTGGGAACTCGCAGCAGAGCAGAGCCAGGAGCACAGTCCGCATCCGTGCAGCCCCCTTCAGCTCCTTCCGTAAGGAGAGCCAATGGCTTCACGTACCAGGGATAAATGTTAAATTTGATTATTAAAAAAAAAAAAAAAAAAAAAAAAAATCAGTGTTCCTGCTCCTTTGAGAAGCAGTGTAGGCCTGGAGGGTTTTTTAAATTATCCCACCAGCCCATCCAAAAGTGTTCTAGCATGTTTTCCAAAACTCCAGGTGCAAAGTTCCTGCCTCCACGACAAGATTCCTGCAGGAAGCCGTACGGTCAGCGCAAGGACTGTGCCAGGGCTGTCCAGGCATGCAGGGAGGCAGCTGGGGAGGAAAAGCCTGTCCCAACAGGACGGCATTAGGGACGTTCATGCAGCAGAACATGACCACGCTAGGGCAGAGCTGGAGGAGGGCAGAAGGCTACGATCGCTCCCTCCTGCATGTTATCCACAGCCATTAGAGGCACGGGCTGAATTTAAACAAAACCCAGACACACACTCTTATCCAGAGACTGTCCTCCTCTGATGCACACAGAGCCACAACCCTGGGAACTTAAAACTAATTCTTGTTGCCTTTCCTTAACGCCCCATGACAAGGGTATCAAACAGCAAGATGGGAACGTCCACTTTGCAAGATGGGACAAGGGCAGCAGATTCGTTACTGGCAGTGAGTGGGACCCGGTGAACCAGAACTGGGGCAGGCCGGGGGCAGAGCCTGGCTCCCGCACAGGCAACACCTCGACTGACACTCTGAGCACTGACAGTCACCGAAGCAGACACTCGCCTTCGGGCGTGAGTTTCTGCCTTTCTTTCAGGGGGTACTGGGACGCTGGAAGGGCGCTTGGCAGAGCCGAGCGCAGCAGCCTGRGCTAGAGGGGCGCTTCCCGTGCCGGGGACACGCGCTGCCCCCGCGGGGCCGCTGCCCCGGGCGCAGAGGGGCCGCGGAGCCCCGCGGGGCCGCCCCGTCCCGCGCGGGGCTCACCTTGAAGTCGCGGCTGTGCTGCGGGGTGTACTCGAGCGTCCAGAGCGCGCGCAGCAGCTGCGCCAGCTGCTCCGTGACCTCGGCGGGCGGCGCGGCGCCGGGCGCGGCCGCTCCAGCGCCGCGGAACTGCTCCAGCGCCAGGTACTCGGCGAAGAGCTCCGTGTTGCTGAGGCACTGCAGGATGGCGTTCATGAAGCACGTGTTGCCGTGGTTGCGCAGCCCCGCCACGCCGGGCACGGGCTCGGCGCCGCCCGGCGCCGCCTCGCGCTCCGCGTCGCCCTGCGGCCTGCTCGGCCTCCTC